CCAAACGGGCAGTTTTCTCATCTACAACGAAGACATCGCACGCTCCACAGATCGAAATTGAGGAAAACGTATAAAATAGGGAAACGCAGGACTGCACAGTAGCAAAGAAAACATTATTACTGTTCAAATGCAGTATCTGTACAACAAACAAGGGAGTTGACGATCCCGAAGTCACTTGAAAAACCTTCCCGCTACCTAAAGTGCGGCCCAATAAAACATACATACTAACCTGAAAAGCGACGAAATTCCTCCAAGAGCAGAGCTCTATAAGGTCCAGTGCTCCTTCCGGAAGTGTGCTTGCAAGTTTAATCACACGCTGGCGCCTGTTACGCCTGACAAAACGCCAGACCAAAATGGGAATCCGACCGCATGTCAGAAAGCATCCGACGAAACTCGTAGTGAGTCATTGAAAGCGCCCAGTCACAATGCTGGACGCCTGCGAACGCCCTGGTATCATTCGCTTATCTCGAGCGAGAATGCGGGAGCGCCCCTGAGGCACGCGTTGCAACTCCTCGATCTCGTCATTGCATAGCGCGGGACGAAGTTGCTGTTCCGGGTATTAAGCGTCGTCGAATATGTAACTTTTACTGCGTCTTCCGCGGTCGTGTTTTGAAAAAATAGCGATTTCTCGTGTGACAAGTTCGCAAACGGATAGAGTTGAGCCGGACGGTGTATGACGCAGCGCCGATATAAAAAGAAGCAGCACTGAATGTAAACCGCAGTCGCCGGTTTCTTTCCCCTTGCAGACTTCTATAATGAATTTCTGGACGCGCACTTTCGTAACATGACACAATTAGTATAAATAAAAGTGTATTGTAAATCGTTTTTGATGAAACTGCGAGGATGCTGTTATTTGTCGTGGACGTGAAGAGTACTGAGAGCACATGCGCCTTCAGTTTGCTTTTCACAGATTTTTTCTGCCCGTCTTGGGCCCAGGATGGCAACAACGTCCATGCGCCTCATCCAAAATATGGCACGAAGACAAAAACCGAGCATTTCTGTTTTTTCGACGAGATGTTTTGGTGGCGCCACCTCGCGGGCGCCTTCCTGTGATGCCGCTGGTAGGATGCGAGCAGACGACCCGCCATGTCAAAGCATGGAATGGCTCTGTTAGTTCGCATCTATGCCGAATAAAAACGACTTTTTTAATAAAAAAAAAAAAACCGTCCATGACGTTTTTGTTAGTGATCTTTGCGATTAATACAGCGCCTCGAAGTTGTTGTTTAAATTGAAACAAATTTAAAATGTTCAAAAACAACCCTGCAGTGGAGCTTCACATTACAGCTTGCGCGGCGTGCGTCAGGGCTATTCACAACCTCTATAATTCTTGTTTTTTTTTTTTGTTTTTTTTTCGGATTTGTGGACGTGGTTGTAGAAAAAGGTTTTGCATTCACCGGAGTAAATGACCTGCTGTCTTCTTAGCTATGCACGCGCGCAGGGCTGTGTTGCAAAGCGCCGCACACTTGTTTTAGCTACACTGAGCTTGCTGATACCGACGCTTCTATCCAAGTGTAACTGCACATTTGCTGATGCGCAAATGCTCATCAGAAACTGACGCTTAGCTCGTCCCGCATCGAATGCGAGGCAAAGAAGTTTGTCACATCGTGACTTCTGCTCGAAAGAAAAGAAGACATTTTCAGAAATTCTTAAATTGTCAGACATGGCCCGGCAAATTCAGGCGATTGATTAATTTGTTCTGTCCAATTTTTACTAAAAATTGTTTACAAAAACTAATATCGCTCGCTGAACAACGCATCACGTATTATCCGCAAAACTAAACATACCAACGGTAGCAATTGATAGAAGGTAAATACCTCATTTTTTGGGACGCTGAAAAGTGTCACCGACTTACTGGATTGAACAGACCTTGATCGCGAGTGGGCCTCGCACGTTTCGCGTGGACCGGGTGAATAAGCAGGGATTTAGTTGAAACGACTCCGGAAGCCAGCCACCCCTTCTTCCTGCCAGTTATTTTGAGGAAATACTTGTTTAATGGTTTACACAATTCAAAAAGGAATCAACTTGGAACTAATAAGAGGCCAGCACTCACAAAACGCAATGGAACCAACAGGATACACGGAGTCGCTTTAGCTGAAGTGTTTACTACACACGCGAGAGATTCTAAAATATTACTTTTCTATTTTTAATTTGATGAGACATTCCTTTCTCAGTTTTATTTTGTCCGAATCACGATAAAAAATACACCCTATTCACCGCGGTAGATGTTGCAGTGTGGTAAAGCGCTGGATATTCTATTTTTATCATTAAGCTTTCTGGAGAAGAGCACACCACCATCCGAGCGCTTCGGCACCTCAGCGCCAAAGGTGTTTGTTAGCACGACTAGCCGAGCCACAGTTTCGAGCTTTGATAAAATGTCCCACTACAAATATCACTTCACCAAATAAACACGACGCGTGAAACACACTTTTCGGAGCGTTACCCGAACAGCGCATGAAGCGAGCTGACGAGCCGAGGGATCCAAGATCTGCGCCGTCTCTCCCAGTCAGTCCTATCCGTGACGTCAAAAACGATGATGGTGATGATAGCTAGAGAAGCGCCCCCTGTAGTTCGCATGACACATAGCGACTACACGAACGAAAAAGTGTATCACGTGCCTTTAGAAAAAAAAAATGTTGCTTGGTGCGCATTTAGCCAGTCTTCCCCCTCCCCCGTTCTTTTTTTTTTTTTTAATAAAAAAAAAAGGGGGGGGGGGGGCATTTGGATACAGGTTTAACTTTCAAAATCACAGACAACATTATTTTATGTCCATACATATTTTTCGGTTTTTAAAAATAACGCGTGTTCATTCAAAATGGCGATCCCCTCTCCAGTGATACATAGTAATATTAAAAACGGAAGAGAATTGGCCAGCTCCCATACCACAAAGGACGATAAAAAGCTTCAAGCGCTAATGCACTTAATACGAGACACCAAAAAGATAAGGAGAGGCGTTCATATTTGAAAGGTGAGAGACAACAGAAAAAGAAAAGTCTTCATATCACCGTCAAGCATTACTTTGTAAGGACGTCACAGACGGTGATATGCAGACGAACCTTGCAGTTGTATTCGTCACTCCCGAGCCACCGCCATGGTCGTTGTTTAAGCAAGTGAGTACGTTTTTCTACACCCCTTCGCTTGACTATGGTTTTATTTCGTTTCGTTTTCATTAATAGAGAGTTTTCGTAAATCGTTTTCGTCATCCCGCAACGCCCTCCGCAACCCGCTACGATGCCCGGAACTCTACAGTCAAGGCTATCGGCGCGCAGGCGCAGTAGCAACTTCTTCGTCGCGGAGGGCTTAGCGGAGAGGGAAACGCGGTCTACGAAAACTCCCTACTATCCCGAAATAAACATATCGCTTCTTCAAGACAACCGCAACGAATATAGGTGGTAGATGCGTCCTTACGCTAAATGACAAAAAAGGTGACGATTTTTTTTTTTTCAGATTTCTCAATATTCGCATTCCTGCTGCTTCACCACTTCCCTCACGGGATCCAAATGGACGTTTCAGTGTTATCTGGTTTTTCTTCTTCGTCTTGAATCTCTTTTCGTACTTCCTTAGCAGCGCATGTTTTCTTCAGACTATGTCGAACTTATTATTTTTTACAGAACCACTACTGAAAGAAAAAGGGAGCATCTCAATGAGGTAGTTCTCGCGCGTAAACGAACTGCTTTACAAACAATTAACGTGGCCCCTTCGTGAAAGCAAAACAATCGCAGTAAGTGAAAGCGCGGTGCCCCTGTCATTTACCTGTAGACTCGAGCCTCTAGAAGAGAAGGAGGGGAACATTTCTAAAATGTAACTCGTAAAAAATGAAATAGGAGATTTCTTGTTGCACGGTCGCCGTCCGTCATTACCTGCAACAAAACAATCAACTAAAAAGAAACGCGTGAGAAAAAATATAACGTTCAAGGTACGATGCCTCCTTTCTAAAGCATTCTGCAATCGAGGAGCATCCGCATCTCCCCCCCCCCCCCCCCCCCCCCCAAGAACTTAGGACTTTAGCAGTAACAGCAAAAGACAAAGACAGCTTGTGAAGTCGCCTGTGCAGTCGCGAACGATATGAACAAACCCAGGCGAGCGAGTGGCTTACAAAGCCCTGCCACACTACCCTATCAGAAAAAAAAACCTCTACCATTATTGAGGCTTCAGCGGCTGTTCAATTTCTGCCGTCATCCCTCCCCCTTGGCTAGCAGTTGCCGAGTCAATGCTGATTTCATTTAATGTAGAGGCGTCCCGCGACAAAAGGCAAAATCAAGCGCGGCGGAATCCACTGGGTCAGCAGGTTGAGCGATAATAAGTTTGCGGGATCAACGATGATATCAATGCTGTTTGTTTTATTTCACCGAGCACTAATGGCGTAGGTGTAGAGTCAGCAATTTCCAAACCGAGTGAAAGTAAAGGCAAAACTCGAACAACCGCTGACATCGCACTCGTTCACACAATACCCTCGATGTATAGACCGACGAGTGAGTTGGTTGATTTGAGGAGCACCGGAAGAATAAGACAGCAGGTGGGACGGGACGACGTACACAATTTTTCAACTATGTATACAACAGTACGCCGTACTATTGCTAGCACCGTTGTAGTGTACGTCGTGCGATATTCTCTCGGTGTTCCTCAGCCTCGATGACGACTAAGCTTTCTTCCGTTAGATAGCAGTGCAGGTATTCGGGGCCACGCCTGGGCATTTTCACACATTCCGCGATTGCACATCGGTGTTCTGTAGAGCAACTTATTTAGAGCGAAGAACAGGCGAAGACGTCCGTGGCCACAATATCACCGACAACTTAAGAATCGCAAGGCCTATTATGTTTACGCTTCTTGCTTCCCGATTAGTTCGTTCCTGTCGGCTAATGCCCCAATCTGATTGGCTGCGATACTATTTAAGACGTTCCGTAGTCTACACACCCGCCCTGCATTTTTTGAGTTGTCGGTGACCATAAAATAGATGTTAATAAAAAGTAAAGATTCCGGGCAACAAAACGAAAAACGTCGGATGTCTGCTAACAGTGTATTGCGCAAGAAAAGGCGAGAACGCGTGTGTGGGTTCGACTCAGCATTCGCATCGCAACCGCCAAACGAACGAGAAAAAAAAAACAAAAAAAAAACATGGTGTTCACGTGGTTCCCTAGCACCATTCGCGTTTAACTTAACACTTAATAAATAAGACCCGATGATTCCGTTGATCAGTTCCGTATAAATAAATACCTACCGAGTACGTCGCATTAAAACGTCAGAAGGAGGCCTGACTGCTACCTTAGCTGTCAGGCCTCCTTCTGACGTTCAATGCGTCCGGACTGAACTGGTGTTCAATCCGTCCAGTCCGGTTTTACCAAACCCCGAGAACGCTCTTTGGAATTCAGCGGTCAGGCGGCGTCACTTTTGTGATTCACGTGGACGTAGTACACGGTGCCGTAGCGGTCCCCCTTCGTCCGGAACGTGTTCCTTTCGCGCCAGAGGTACATCCCCGCGACGAGGGACACGACCAGGGCGCACGCGCCGACGCCGGCGAGCACGATCTTGTTGTTGGCGGTGTTCTCGAACTGGAGGAGCAGAGTGCGGCTCAGCGGACACGTCATCTCGGAGACGTCCACCTCGTCCAGGGACCTCCCGGCCAGCCGAGGTGGGCTCGAGCACCTGTGCCACAACCGTCGAAGAAATGACTAATCATGCTTCTGCTTTCTCAACACGTTATTCAGAAATCGCCGGTTCAGGTAGTTTCGGTATGAAAATTTGTGAGCACGTGTTCGAATGAGCGCGGGCACCCCTTCGACCAAGGAAGCTACATCCTGCTGGCTCCACTGAGCTACAGTGACTAGGGTAACTGTATAGAGGCTCTGCTTCTAGCAGCAACCTAGAATGAGCCCCAACGTCTCTCTTGTGCATCAGTTGTGGCTTTCCTTTTTGCCCCAAATTCGTTTATAAAGGCTTCTCCCAATGTTTCCTACTGGCCGACCTGACATAGTCCTGGGGGGAATCCTCGAACAAAATTTTCCGCTAGTTATTTGGAAAATGGTGGATTATGGAAAAGTCAAGATATTATAAAAATTTCATTCTAGAAAATACTTCTCTTTCGTCTACCTTCTCGCAAGCCTATACAAGAGGCAACCACTGCATGCATGCAGTCTAGAGCGGGGGCTCGGCGAATCACGCTGCCGAAAAGAACGTTTCAGATAAAAAGCCTGCAACGCGTCAATAAGTATGATGTGTCAATAAGCATGATGGGAGTACCATACGAAACGTAATGCTCAGGGTCTCATCGCAGCCTTCATTTTTTAGATTCGTACACTTCTCTTCGCCTCGTCATTATTCCGTCGATAAGAGGACTCGAGAGATTATTTTGTAGGGTGAAGTTGGTTAGGCTAGAAATCCCTCGGTAATAATTTGCAAAAAAAAATAAAATAATAATAATAATAAGTTTTATGTTGTTTAATTATCTTTGAATATTCATACGTTATGTAGCAAAATATTAAGCGCCGGTTATGACCGCGAAATTGGTGAAATACGGATTCGAACCCTTCCCGGCAAGACAGCACGGCATAAATTTGAGCCATTTTTCTGTGCACGGTTTCTCAAATGGTGACGTCGCCCACCATCACGTTTATGTTGACAAGTAGTCCTATAGCCTTCTCCTCTCTATCCCAGTCTTCTGCAGTTTCAAATTGAAACTTCAGAAGACTGCGATGGAGAGGAGAAGGCTAGGACTTTTTCAATATCTCACAAAAAATATTTACCAAACTAATGTTTTTTTTGTGTGTGTTTTTTTTTAAAGAGTGCCAATATACACACCTATGATAACATTCGATCACGTTTTTTTTTTTCTTTATGCAATATTGAAGCATATTCACAGTTTGCGCACAAAACGTTTTGTTCTTGATATTGTCTTATCACAACCAAATTTGGCATGCATATAGTTTAGAATATGAAGAATGCAACTATTAAATTTTGGTTAATATATTTATTTTTATATTTATGAAAATTTAAGAAACTTTTGCCAGTCCTTTTAAGATATTGTTTTTTGCAATGTCGATTTATTTTGAAATAAAATAGGTCTCACACACATTATTTTTGTTGTTCATTGTACTCAGTGGTTTAAAAGAAGCAAATTGGCTTATTTTACTAGGCTCTGTAAAGCGAGTTGCCATGCCCGGCGCCTGTGCGCATGAGAACGTGGTTTTTTCAGCGTGTACACTGCATCCAGAACATAAAAACATAAGCTAAATCGAAACCCAGCACCAAATTTATAGATATCAGACATTATAAACTGCAAACTTTTAATTCATTCATCCTAAATAATAAAAAAAAAGTTTTCCTTGGCACATGTTCACTTAAAAAGCATGCATGACGGTGCAGATTTTAGGAAGCGAATGGCGGCTCACAGAAAAAGGCTTAACTGAACGACGCCATTCTGTTCCAGCCTAATGTGCTTCATCGTAGTGTTGGTCGTTACATGTAGAAAGGAGTATCGAGGGACTTTGCGTTAGGCCAGTTGTAGATATTAAAATGTCAAGTTTCAGAGATCCACCGGCATAGCGTGATCTATCATAGCGTGGCTATGGTTCTACGAAGGTACAATGAGCATGCATAGCATTTGCAAGGTTCCAGTTGGCACGGTATAGTCAGGGGCAGCTTAAGAAACGGAGGGTTTATTAAATTACGTTCTAGCTTCGTGATTCCTTCTTCGGACTTTTCATTTGTTATATGGGCTCACGCGAGCACAACTTTGATAGCTTTGACCGCATAGCCACAGAAAATTGTCCCCGAGTATAATGATTGTCTTTCAGAATGCCTAGTGGAAATGTAGGCGGGTGGCGATCAAGCGATTTCATACCCTAGCCTTGACTGAAGACCAATTGCACCTTCACCCAGTCACCCGCCCATTTATTATTTCATTCTCATCGATCCTGTCCATATCAGTTTCGAGAGAGCTTTACGCATTGTGATACTAGCCATATGGAGGTTGGACGGGTTTTCTTAGAATAATGTAGCTCCTTCAAATTGTACTTTACGGTCACCTACCATGAGAACTATATTAGTATAGTCTCATCTTTGATACGTGTAGCAGAGCAAATGCATATATAATTTTCTTTTCTAACCTAAAATGAAGTCAGAAGCTCTTTCGGTGTGTATACAAGTCTGCAGAAGTGTCGGCCCTACTCCGTAAAATGGAAAAGGGGAGGGGGAAGCGAGGTTTTCCACTCTCTCTCTCCCGTATTTCTTACATTAAACTTGTAAAATGCCCCCCCCCCCCTGCCCTGCCCTGCCCTGCCCCCCCCCCCCCCCCCCCCCTTGTTTTGACGCCACTTCCAGTCTGTGAAGTGTGGTAAACTCACATTAATCCCTCGGTGGAGCGGCACCGCTTGATCCATGACGTCTCGCAGTTGCACGACCAGGGGTTGCCTCCAAGATCAAGTTTTCCCTTCCCACACCACTCCACAAAGCCCTCCGGGAGCGTCGATAGACTGTTGTTCGCCAACTCCATCCTCAGGATTGGTGACGTATTCCACTGAAAAGCCGATGCACTGACGACTTTAAGTAGCGGGTTTCCGCTGATCTCAACCACTCGAAGGGCCTTCATGTACCAGAAGCTGCCATCTTCTATGGCTTCCAGTTGGGGCATCTGCGAGAGGTACAGTTCTCTCAGTCTTCGCACTCCGGACATTGACGAGCTGTCGAGCTTGACCAGGGGGTTCTGGTCCATCCGAAGAATCTTGAGGTTCCTTGCACTGCCCAGTCCTCTTGGAATGTCAACAAAGTCGTTGTCGGAAAGATCGATGTTTTCTAGTCTCGTAGCCAGGCTGAACGCGTTGTCTGTGATGCTATGGGCGTCAATAGAACGAACTTCCAGCGACTCCAAGACATCGAGGTTTCTAAACCAAGTGGCGTCGATGAACTTGAGAGGGTTGTTCGATAACCGGAGCGTCTTAAGGTTCGGGGTCCTATGGAAGGCGTACGGAGCGAGATTTCTTAGCGAGTTACCCTCCAGACTGAGGAATTGGAGCGATTCCAGGCCATCCAAGTCGTCCGCGTCAAGGCTCGACAGGCGATTGTGGCTGAAATCCAGAGTGTGCAGATCGTTGAGTCTATTAAAGGTGCCTCTGAGGATGACATCGATCGCATTGTGGCATAAAACGAGGGTGGTGAGCTTTTGCTCGTGAAGCAGCGGTATCGACTTGACGTCGTTGAAACTTATATTTAGGAAATGCAGGTGACCCGGGAGTGAGTTTGGAAAAACAGTTAGTTGTGCATGCGTACAGGACACTCTGGTATGGTTGTGCTCGCAGACGCATCGAGCTGGGCAATCGCTTTCTTGGTCCGAACCTTCGGTGGCCCATGGGCACGCGACTGCTGCCAACAAGACCAGGAAAGTGAACTTCATGCCTGCGATGAATAAGAAAAGAACGAAGACTTCAAAACCAAAACACACGAAGATTTAATCTCAGGCGCAGAATCCCTAGGCAAATCCGTTGTTAATATATCTCCACTACTTAGAAACAGCTGAACAAATTCATGTTAGAAACTGCAAAGACGCAGAGTAATAAACAAATAAAAAAATGACAAACGTTACGCAAGTAAAAAAAAATTACACAGGGTCAATTATGCTGACAAAGACTGGGAACCATAGAACGTATACGACGCATACTAACACCTCACAGGATCACCTCGCAAAAATTGACGTCACGTGACTTGTGGTAACATGATGGGATCACATCACGTCAAGTTTCCCTGCGCATTTTAGCGGGGAAAGGGACTTGAGGGAGCTTTGTGACGGTTTTTTCTCATGGAATTCGGCTGATAAAACAGTCTGTGTCAAACTTGCCAAGCATCTAGGGAACTACTGTTATATTTATGAATATAGGTACAAAGGGAGGAGGTGATTGCTTTCGCTCGTGACCATACTTCTGAGTGAGCAAGAAGTAACGTTCCAAAGCTCACGTTAAAATTTCTTTGCGAACTTGAGAATACCAAGACATCTAAAACATCCCTAAGCGATGTAAGTCGATCATCTGCGTTGGAGTAATCGCTCAAACAACGTCGATAGAAAAGAAGTGATACAATTTGACTATTTGCATTTAGTACATAAATTTAAACCTAAAATCCTTAAAAAATTAATGTTTATATATATATATATATATATAAAAAGAACGCAAGCCAGTTTTAATTTCGAGATTTCTTCGAATCTCGTCCGAACCCTCACGCGGACTATGAGAATACGTTTCAATGTGCCCACGGTGCCCACAAAATTATAGTTAACCCTGACCTACCGAAAGATTCGCAACTATCTAATCTGATTGATTACGTGTGTTGCGACACAAGCTGAAACCGGTTTAACATGACGCTCCAAGTACTGGAAGCTTAGGTTCTTACTACTTGGCGCCCGTTGCATGTGGCGAGGCCTTGTCGTGTATTCGAGGTGCATTTCACGCAGCAGACTTGTGTACGTTTATTAGAAAAAAAAAAAAAAAAAAAATGCCAGGCTAAAGGGTTGAGAAAACGTTCTCGCCCGACAAAGTGAGCCAACGCCCTGTCACTTGACACCTCATCCAAAACTGTCACTCCGGCCCCATGGCACCCAGCCAATACGCAAATCATTCGTGAGTCCCGCACTCGTGTTGGACCGAATGTGTCGAGAGAACGGGCAGTACAGATGTACACCAATTGGGGGGCCGTACCTCCACGAAGACGCGACAAGGCCACGTACCTGAACAGCAGCCTCTCGTTCTCCGGCGTCGACCGCACGAGAGGGATAAGAACGGACCTGTACGGAAAGCGAGCGGCAGCCCTGCCGAAGGGACTCGAGCGTCCTATCTCTTACTCCGTATCGCGTGTGCAAACAATGCGCTATCGGGAGGGACCTTGTAACAAGAGAGTTGCTCTCGACGCCGCGAGGCGCACGTACGACGCCATATGTCCATATATCGCAGCATTCGTAACATGTAAGCAATTAAAAAAAAAAAAAAATCCGAGTTTACAGGGCGGGTTGTTTCACGAATTCATCCCGAAATGAACGCTGCGAAGATCGCACTGTGGACATATGTAAGGAGTGTATTTTCAGATGGAATTTGACTCCGCATTCCACAGATGTCCTCACAGCGAACACCAGAGCGAATTTTATGCGGCGATACATGCTTCATCGCAGGGATTCATCTGACGCTTGCAGTCGCAATCCTTTCCGGTAAAATAGTATGAGGGGCCATTCTATTTGCTGATGGCTAGACAATCTACTCCATTAGAATGTGTATCGTGAGTGGGTATGGTATAAATAGGGCTCCGTGTTTTCGGAGTTTATTTTTCGTGAAATTCGGAGGTGTTTTTCGGAGTTTATTTTTTAGCAAAAATTCGGCGTTTATCGGAGTTTATTTTTTGTAAGTCCTCAATCCTCTGAAATTGGGAGATTAATTTAGCAGTTTTTCCTATTAAAAAAATAATAAATAATAACCGGATGCGAACGTAAAAATAAAACGTGCTTGTATCAATTAAGATTTCTTCACTTGAATTCGGCGTTGGTGGTCATTGGAAATACTAATTTGTCCCACGACAAAAGTCGCACACAAGTCTGGCTTCGATAAGCGTCGATACCTTAAAATAAAAAAAAACTGCCGAGGGCACCCGCAAGGAAGCTCGTAGTCATCCCATCAATCCATCTCGGGGCCGCGCGAGGTGGAGTGGTTAAGGATGTAACAGAGAAGTTTCAACTGCCCCTCCTCGCTATTTTATACAATTCCTATGGTCTATAGCAGGGGTGGCCAGGCTGACCCGGCCTAAGAGCCGCACATGAAACCACGAAACTTCTAAGAGCCGGGGGGGGGGGGGCATTTTTAAATTTTGTTTAGAGTCTGATTGTACGTATGAGTGCACAAGACTGTACGGCAGTACAGCCTTGCGCACTCATAAGTAATGAAGTAATACGTAATAAAGTAGCCAAACCGCGAGCCTTACTTTATTCTGCCTGAAATCCCGCCTTTTTTTCCTCGGGAAACGCATAAACGGGGCAAGGGGCAGGGGGGAGGGGGGGGGGGTCCGCTTACGAGGGATCCGCGAGCCGCACTTGGACCAGCGAAGAGCCGCATGCGGCTCGGGAGCCGCGGTTTGGCCACCCCTGGTCTATAGCTTTCACTGTTACCCCCCCAAAACATACCCTCTCTTTTCTCTAAATGCCAAATCCCATGGCCCAAACTGGAAACCAAAAGAGTGGCTTTTGTCGTGACACGAGTGGTACGATGACCTCTTTCCCTGAACCAACCTTGACGAGACAAGCCGTAAGACCCCCTTTTGACAACAGTCCGAGGCTCGAAAGATAATTATGGTGTCATTTTCCAAGGGTCATTAATCCTGCGCTGCTCAAATTGTAAAAAAAGATTTTTTTTTTTTTTTTTTGAAGGGGGGGGGGGGGGGTTGCATTGGCACATAAGAATTCGGAGTTTATCGGATAAATCCGAATTGGACTAAAAATTTACCGGCGGGTGTTTTTTTTTTTCGGAGTTTTTCAGGTTTATCCGAAAACACTGTAGTATAAAATAACCTTAGGAACGAATACGGTGATTTATTTTTTTGAGTATGAGAGATGTAACAATCAACAGCGCCGTAGACGTATTACATCAAGAACGTTAATAAACACTTATAAACGCTAACAAACACTCGATTAGCATTAAATATCTGGTGATTTTCTATAACTCCCAAACTGAACACGTTTTCGTGATATTTAAGCCGTATTCTTCACGGCATGCTAATTATTATTGCTGAATTCAGTGTTGGAAAGCACTAAATGTCCCCCCCCCCCCCACACACACACACACAGGAAAGTGTTTTTGTTGTTTTTTGCTGTAAAAATGAAAGTGCGGATTGCTGAACGCTCTCCGCCCAAATGTAGCGCCATAGGTCCGAACCAGATGCAAAAGTTTCAAAGCTAACCGTTATCTTATTGAAAAGTTATAATCGATTTTCTGAAAATTTCAATGGGAAAATGGGGTCCATTTTCGCCCATTTTCGGTAACTGGTGCCATTCAGCTGCAGGCATTATGACTTATGAGTATAAGATTCCGTGCTATCGGAGCTCATTTTTCGCCTCATTTGGAGAATGCTTTTTGGAGATTATTTTTCTTCGATTCCCAATTCTTCGATATTGAAAACGTAATTTCGCAACGTTTTTTTCTTTTTTTTTTTCTTTTTTTAATATTTGGGGTGCTACTCTCAAAATAACGAGCTTCTATCAATTAATATTTTTTTCAACTAGATTTGACGTTGGCGCCAGTGGAATTGGCAATACTAATTTGTCCAGCGACAGAAGTTGCAAACAACTCAGGTACCGTTACAGCTTACACAACATGGTGCAAGTCGAGCAGGCAATCTAAAAAACGCAATATATTGCGCGTTTTTTTTTTTTTTTTTGCTTTTCGTTTTGCAGGCGTGTTTTTTTTTTTTTTTTCAGCATTTATTTCACAATATCAAACTTCTTGTAACCGATCGAAAACAAGTTGTTTTGTCCCCTTATTATAACATGTGACGTCACGATTTCAATGTTGCCAGTAGAGTTTCTCAGCCTCTCAGACCAAACTTAAAAATTTACTAACTCCACGAGAAAAAAGAATACTGTGACTTGTAATTTCGGTGACTAGTTCGTGTGTGTCGATTTATGTTTCACCGATTTTGCGGCAGATATAAAAATTTGGTTGGAGTTTCACTGCACCCCTTCGTATATGTTTGAACCTGCACATTTAACCAGGCACTTCTTTTTTTTTTTCTTCCTTTTTTCATGGCTGTTTGAACTCATATCACTCTACGTTTGCGCAACTGTGAATTTAAGCCCCAATATATTCTGGCCCACGGTGACGATTAATAATCGTGGCCCCCATTTAATAACCTATTATTGTCGATTAACCAGACACGCTTCCATTTCCTCAATATATGCGTGTTGATTTTTTTTTTCACAACATGCCTTTGCAGTTTTCTTCTTTTTTTTTCTTTTTTTTTTTAATGTCGGCTAAAAGGAGTACATGTACAACAGGGGTGGCCAGGATGACCCGGCCTAAGAGCCACGAACAAAACCACTAAACTTCTAAGAGCCGCCTGGAAGAGGAAAGGCCGAAAAGGGACCTGGGGGGGGGGGGGGGGGGGGGGGCATGTTAGGTTTACTAGGGAGCAGCGAGCTGCACTTTAACACGCAAAGAGCCGCAGCTTGGCCACCCCTGATATATGGTTTTATCACGACGTCAAACGTTATTTGAGTTCAATATCATTCAAGATATTATATACTTCGCTGAATAAGAGAGTCCTCCTTGAGTGCTATGCGCAGTTTGCATTCTCGCCATTTGTTTGAAGGCCCGTTCTGCTGAAAGTCGAAATATGTGGAAAGCAGTGGTATAGCCGGGGGGGGGGGCTTATTGAGCTTAGCCTTCCCCCCTCCCCCGAGATCCAGCCCTAGCTAAGCCTCTCGTGGAAAGGACTGACACATTTCTATTTTTATAGTGCAATTAAATGCAAGGGTGCAAGCGAGCTGGACAAGAATGATGAAAATAATCCCTGGAGAAGGGGAACAAGAGGGACAAAGGACAAACATACATCTCCAAACACAGCTAGGTGACTGGTGAGCGACCGAAAAAATCCGCCTGGTCCGGGTGTCGAACCCGGGATCTCTTCATTACAGGTGGAGTGCTCTACCAACTAAGCTAACCAGGGGTTAGACGTCAGTAGAGCGAACGGGTTTTATCAGCCGCCACCAGTCTAACACCAACAAGGGTGAGGCTTGCAATTTAAGGTTATGATTATAATTAAATGCAAAGGTGCAAGCGAGCTGGACAAGAATGATGGAAATAATCCCTGGAGAAGGGAAACAAGAGGGACAAAGGTAGAGCACTCCACCTGCAATGGAGAGGTCCCGGGTTCGATACCTGGACCAGGCGGATTTTTTCGGTTGCTCACCAGTCACCTAGCTGTGTTTGGAGATTTATGTTTGTCCTTTGTCCCTCTTCTTCCCCTTCTCCAGGGATTATTTTCACATTTCTATTGTTGGAATGTTGCAGTCGATTTTAATTGCGGAGGCACCCTATGTGAGGCATCCCCATGGGACAAACGGGCCAAGTCATATTGTTGTTGACCGTACCTATGCCATATAATTGAGCCTAGGCTGTATTTTATCTCACCATATGGGACAATAAAATGGCGATATTCCTCATTCACAATTAAGTTAAAAAAGGACCGTCCGCCCGAGTTAGATGAAGATTAATATGCAAAAAGAACCTTCGATCGAGTCTAAATTCGTTAAAATGGCATATCAGGACATTACAAAAAAATTGTTTCCCTATAGAGTTGCGTAGTGTTTTTGTGTTTTTTTTAATATAAAAAATAGAAATACGAGGCCCAATTCAAAGTTCCCGCCGTGCACTGTGACGTAACAGTGCACCGCAAGGTGTCGGGGCGGTCAGAAGGGAGGCATCGACCTACATCACTAAAAGTGGGTTCACCGGAAGTCACGTGAGTTTCACTCCTCGTGCTCTCCGCAACCGTGCCTAAGTTTTTTTTTTTTTTTCTGCTTTTTGTACGAGCGATTGTAGAAAACGAAGTTTCAGTTCCACTAGCTCTTTATCGCTGCACCGTTGGTTAGTTTGCGTGCTGTAAAATTTGAGAACGAAGAGTCAGTGGATCGACGTGATGGAGGTCAATGAGGAAAGCGTTGCGAGTACAAGCCAGTGTACGAGTGCATGCCGTCAGTCCGATGATACAGGGCTATACAGGGCAAAAAAACAAGCAATCAAGTTTTGAAAAAAAAAAAAAAAGAAAATTAGAACGCTTGCAGAAATTAGAATT